GGGCAATCTCAAAGTACCCAGATGACAGTCCGTTCAACGTTCGTGGTGGAATTGAAATTTGAGCGGCGTCTGCTGTAAGCAATATACTAGTAGTTACTGTTGCCAAAGTCTTATTTTTTACAAACGTTTTGCAAGAATTGGTCAAAATGGTTAACTGGTATTGTAATGCCCCAGGCTATTCCTGGGGTTCGATTAAAAAGAAAAAACGGCGAAATATCCTGAGATGAAAGGCGTACAGTAACTTTGCATACATTTCTCTCGTCCAAGAAATCAACACTTCAACGCCAGTGCCCAGTGGATTCGAATGCGTCGTCGGGAACCTGAGTGGACGCCAAACTATATTCCCGGGTTTGTTCACAGCATTTTCCATCCTGCGCCAGTATTTTTTTGGTTCAATAACTGGAGACAGTCGTCTTTCAACCGCAGTTATACATCGATTGAAAAAACGACGACTCTGTCAGCTTCCCGAGACGAGCGCAAACGGAAACATTGAGCCGGATTTGATGGAAAATTCGCTCGTTACCGATTCCCACATCGATCTTTTTGTTCAGAATCCTTATGATGGCATTTGTTGCGAAGTTGAAGTTAAAATAACTACGGAAGGAAAAAACGTGTGTCCATTTATGATAACTGCATCTGCTGATCGCCTGGTGAATAAAATATTAAATCAAACTTACACCACACAGTTACAAACACCAGAAACTATTTTCGAGTTTGATTTAATAATAAACCATGGCTTGTAAGGATTTTCCTTCATGGATCATTGCCGAATACACTCTGCTATAACGAAAATAAATTCTGTATTCTGCACATGATGAAGCTTTATGGAAGGTAAATAGCCATTATTAAGGTGATATTCTTTCAGTCTGGCTGTTGTCCAGTCACTTCGATGCAACAAATATGCAAACATATCAGCTCTTTCAAACAAAGGCAAAGTATGAAGTTTTTTTTTGCCAAGTTTTTTACGTTACACGGATCTACAGTACGACGACGATTGTTTGACTCTTGGCGAACATTTAACTCGTTTGCTAACTCAACAAGTTCAAACAGTTTAGCTTTACGAACATTGCTGCAAGTTATACCACGATCCTGAAGACATTTGCAGAGTTCTGGAACTTTTTTCCTTTTCCAATCTATTGATTTATGCATGTAAGAATACAGAACTTCAATAAAAACAACCCTACTCAGGCTTGTCATCGGGGTATTTTGGATGCGCCCTCTAGCGGAATTCCGTAGAAAACTAACAACTCGAAAATTAGGAGATACCTGCATTATGGTATAGTTCAGGCATGTAACAACTTTCAATTGTTGTATCTCAGCTAACATAGCTTGGAATTGTATAAAATAAGGACGAAAAGATACAGTATAAAATATAGGCTAATAATATCACTTAATTACAAATACGAAAGAATAAAACTGAATAAACAACAAGTAATATTAATGAATGAGGAAACACACATGTGGATGAGCATCCACGATAATATTATACATATGCACACCAATTTGTTTCACGATCTGATTCGGACGAATGGTGGCCATTTTTATGCTAAAAAATCAGCAAAATCTAGCATTTATGGATGGAGTTTGTTTAAACTTGGTAAACGCGTTGGTCATTACAGGACCAAATAGCAGCCATTTTTGTACTAAAAAATCATCAAAAATCAAGCATTTCTGGTATTCTAGAACTGGATCTTGGCGTTTATGGATGGATTTTGTTCAAACTTGGTATACATACATTAGAGATTATGGGTCCCTGATCCACATCATTTTATTTTTCAGATTGGATTCAAAATGGCTGACTGGCGGGAAATTTGTTTAAATGAACACGCTTCTAGAGCCATATCTCTGATATGCTTTGACTGATTATGTTCAAATTTTATATATTTGTTTTACATCATGTTATAGATATATAGATGTATTCAATATGGCCGACTGGTGGCCATTTTGTTTTAATTAATGCTGTTCCAGAGCAATATTTCTCAATATGGACAAGTACTCGTTTGACGGTCAGATACAAATGTCAATTACTTTTGAGTCAGTGCGAAGCTACTTACAAGATTGTGCCTGATTGGCATGTCATATTTTGACGTATCAAATTCTGCCTTGTATATCAGTATAACTGCTTTAAAATATATTTTTTATTTCGCAGGTTTTACCATGCCTCTGTAGTTATTCCAGCTCATCAGCAACACATCAGGTAAATAAGCTCATTCATATTTGCATTGGTTCCCGTATTTTCATTATTCAGCATGATTTAATACTGAAAGAAAATTCAACATGCATTGCAAATTCCTGATGATATGTTGTTTAGATTCATGTATATCTAAACTTGATATCTAGCTGTAGCACTCTTCTTCGTATTCTATCATCCAAAGATACTGTACCACTTCAAATTGCTCAGAACACTGCACTGAGAATTATTGCCAGAAGTCAGATCACAGATCTCTTTGCGAACATAAGCTACAGATCTGAGTACACAAAAGGAAAAGAGTGCAACCAGATTTCAGTATGCAAATCACACTTGATGGTGGTCTGTTGAGTCTCAGAATGCGCTCTGTGAAATTCCTCTTTTCAACAATCAAAATGATTCATTCATTCATTTGCAGAATATCAGTGTGACGTTAGTTTACTAGTTCATTGTAATTCTTGTCTGAAATTTGGCAAGACATCTTAAAATGACTTGCAGGTTGATTCAAATCGATAAATGTGATAATTAGTAGATAATATTTGTCCTAAGTAACTATTAAAAATAGCTAGATGTTTCAAGGAATTGCTCTTTATTGATAGCATAGAAGAAAATAGAACAAAGTCTCATTGTCTGGCCATTTTTTTCTTGAGAAAGTGTCTTGCAGTGATGTGCTGACATTGCTTGTTATGTCAGAATTTATCATGTATGCATCATACATCTTGAGACACATGCATGTTCATTTGTTTCATTGCCTGACAAAAGTCGGTTAAATGGTGATCATTTTAATGTTCAATATTAATCACAATACAGCATTTCTGTCATTCCAGTACCAAATATGGTACATACACTGAACATATGGGACATGCATGTAGTTTTGTTTTTTAGATTGCTTTTAAAATGATTGACTGGTGGTCATATCACACATACATGTATGCATATGTATTTATTTGATGATCAGATTCAGGATGGCAGATTGGCAATCATTTTAATGTAAACAAGTCATTGTCAATGACATAGTACCTGTTTGTATTCAGGTGACTGAAGATTTGATGAAGAAAATATGTCTAGCACAGTTTATCTATATACCATTTTTTTGCAGTATGAAATGTTTTTTGAAAAAAACTAAAATGGAGCACTTTTCCCAATGTCTAGAAACACTATAGAATTCTAAAGAGAAATAATATAACAATACTGTAAGGCAAGAATAATTGGGTGTCACTAATATTGAAACAAACTGAAACATGTTGAAAATCACATTCAGCAATTTTGATGCCTCATGTATATGGATATGGAAAACAAATCAATATTATGTCTCTTGCCTTTTCTATCAAATTTAAACCAAATCTAGAAAAGCACATCTGAGAAAAGGATGAAAAAAATGTAAAAAAAAAAATGGTAACCAGTCGACAATATTTAACCCAATATATATGATCATCATACCAACAGAATTTTTATCGAAATTGTCTTCGTCACTGACCAAATTGAAAAGGTTCTCACAGTAAATTCACCAACATTGGCTGTGTTTATCATCAAGTTAATTGCAGCCAGTTTGCAACAAAAGTCAATCACTAGATTTTCTTTTGACATGATTTGAAGGTTTC